AGAAGATCCGACTAATTAGTCGAAGTTATAAATATTTCCAACAATTTGGTACTAGCAGCTCGAGAGGAAGTGCAGTAATTTTGCCCAGTGAAATGATTTTTGACTTCTGAATTGACAAATGCCACGATTCACCAACGTTGATGTCACTTGCAGGTATCCAAATATTAATGTAAATGCAATGTTTTCTCAATTCAGCTTTATAATTTTCATTAGAAACATGTTTAGAGATGTTGTAAATAAGAACCTCTTACCCATTTTTGTTTCTTAATAAAAACTTAAGGGGAAAATTATTTGCCATAATAATACCCAAAATCCTCACGAATTCTGTTAAGCTAAATTTGTTAGTTATGTAAAATGAAGAATAAATTTAGAGTGGGAGACAAAAGAAAAATCAATTCTCCTAAATTCTATTGGTAATTTTAATTACTTATGTATACAACCTACATATTTAACAAGTTTTAAAAGCACTTGTATTTTGTAAGTTCATAAGCATAAACATAAAACTAAATGGACATAATCAAAATAGGTGTATTAAACAAAAATTTATTTCTAATATAAATGAAAATAATTAAAAAGTTATAATATATAAGTTTCACTTGACTTTTATTGATATTTAAAATATTTTTTATTTATTTATTAGTTTATTTTAAAGATCAAATTCATTGTTTAAATTAAGTAACTGAAATCACGCCAACACTGCCATTCATGTTTTAATTTTTAATTATATCTTTATTGGAGCTAATAAAAATAAACTAGAGCTATTGCTTACTCAAAATCCTAAAACCGAATTTTATGAAAAAGAGGATATTTGAAAATTATTAGTTTTTACATTAAATCTATATAAACAAAGCAGAATGTTTTATGTGATTGTGTGTAAATATGTTATGAACCTTATATAAATCTGCAATTCTGAACAGTACCTCCCAAAATTTGGGATAAATTAGAGTTGATTCAGTGATTTGAATTACTAAATTGATTCAGTGATTTGAATCACCAACTTGCAACTGGTTTGAATCAGTTGATTTTATCAGAATAGATTCAAATTATAATGAATTATTGTTTCTTTGATTTCAGTTACTTTTGTTTCACAGTGATATGCTGTGTCATACATACATAAAAATTTATTTTAAAACCTTAGAAATTCTTAAGCATTCATTATTCAGGAATTGAGATTTTCTATTAAAAAAAATACATAAATTTACATATAAAATAAATAAAGAAAGAAAAACAGTAATGCATTTCCTCTGTAGTTTCTTATAAATTACCACAATTAAAAGTATTTATAGAATCTAGCGACATTTATAATTATAAAAAAGATATAAGTATATTTATTTACTTGAAGGAATTCTAATATTTTCATGTCTTTTTATTCAATAGACATTTAGTACAGGGGGAAAAAAAGAGTACTACTAAGTGAATTGTAATTAGAATTGAATAGTGTTTTGAATCGAATCACATAATTCGCAATTGATTTGTTAAGTCATGTTATTTGAATCAATGATCCAAACTATTCCATTGGAATTGAGATCTAAATCACTTGATATGAATCACATCTGAATCCCAAGATTCGATTTGCATGATTCGAATCATTGATTTGAGTCACTGGTCAAAATTAGAATCATTGATCCAACTAGAGATTTAAATCACGTGTACGGTAGTCACAGTGTTGAAGTCAGGAGCAGAATTCATATCAACCAGCCGCTACTGGGATTCGAACCTTCCATCCCCTGATGCTTACTTAATTGTGTTCATAGGTTAGTAATATACTAATATAGGCAATAAGTTTTTTAACCCCTTAACGATCGGTTAATTTTCAAGAAAACGGTCATAAAAGTGTCTGTTTTGCCAAATACATGTATTTGATTAGTGCTAGTATCTAGTTTAAAATAAACTAACTATTCAAAATTACCTTAAAAATATTCTGGTTCTGCTATATGGTGTGTAAAATGAGAAATAAAATGTTTTCCGGGCAAAAGAAATGAATTAGTTTTATTCTTATTGGAGCATTACTACTGAACACTCCAGCCCATCAATATCACATCCTGTCATTTTCATGGGAGCGAGACGGAAGGGGTTAACAGTTCCCCAAAACAAATGGTATCGAAATGTATGTTAATTAAAGGTTTGACATATGTTTCATATTTTTAGAAATTTATTTTGAAAAATTCATCAAATAATAAAAATTAACTATAATTTATTACATTACTGAAAATCATTTATTTAAAACATAAATTAACCAAATGAACAACATGAATTTTCATAAATGCACAAGAATTTACATGAATAAAATTGTTTCATATATTAAAGTAAAAAATTAAAAAAATAAACATTTGTGACAAAACAAAGTAATTTTCATTAATTTCTATAAGAAAAAGAATGAATAATATATTTTTATTGTTTTCCCAAATATTTCTAAAATAATGAACTTTTAATGAAAATCTTTATTTTATAAAGGTTATAAAATAAATATTTTTTTAATTAATTAAATATCAAATACTATATTTTATTTTATCAAGGGTAATGACTGAAAAAAAAATTTATATTGAATCGCACTTTAAATTAATATATAATAATTTTGCTATCCCACTAAATTTTAATTACTTGTCTTATTCAATAAAAATGATGAACTGCACTTGATTTCCTTCTAAAATTTAAAATAATTATTTGTTAAACGAATAAACATAGCTCTACAGACATTAAATGATGTATATTATGTCACTTATGATGTATATTTTGTATTATGTCACTATGTATTGCAGAGTTCTTCCTGGGAATAAAAAAGAGCAGGGCGCTTCCTCTCAGAAAAGGGCACTCACTTAACATCATAAAAATTTATCAAAATGTGTTTGTGTAATATTATGTAATAACTGAATTTTACTCTCAACAATTTTTAAATTACCTTCTCATACTATTTTATGTGTATGTTTAAAAGTAGTTCTCTCTCATCAAAATAAGAGAAACATTTGTAGTTTATAAAAATCATTAAAGGCAGGCTAAAACACAATATATGCGCATAAATTATTTTCAAAAAAACTTAAAAAAAAAAAAAGATTAATTGATAAATTTGAAAGCTTTTTTTTAAATTAGTAGTGAAAATTATAAGATAATTAGCATTTAACAGTGCATACTTTTCTATTTAAAAAAAAATAATTTTATTTAAAAAAATAATTTTGAAATTTAAAATTATTAAAAAAGCTTATTAATATCCTCCCCTGAAAGAAAAAAGAGATACTTGTAAACATTTAACCAGTTGAAAATAATCCTAACAAAGTAAATATTTGTTATAGTAATCAGAATTAAACCTATAAACACAGAAAATTTTACATGCAGGGATAAGATTGGCCAAAAGGCAAAAAAGCTGAATTTTCACGTGAGTAAATCTTACTTGATTTATAGCAAAAATATCAGCAACATATATGCCTATATATAGCAACAATCGTCGATTGAAAAACAGCCACATTTATAGTAACTAATTCAAGAAAAACACTTTCTTTTTACAAGAATCGCGATAAAGGATTTTAAAATCGCGTGAATGTAAATCACGATATTGAAATCACGTGAATAAAACTCGATATTGGATTTCAAAAATTTGAAAATAAAAATCATGATGCGTAACTTTCAAAACGCGTAAATACGAATTGCGATGCATAATTTCTAAATGGCGTGAATACGAATCCAAAGTTTAATTTTTAAATCACGTTTAAATACGAAAATAGATGTTGGATATGACAACTACAAAAACGAATCACGACATTGGATAAACTCGCGTGAATACGAATCGTTACATAGAATTTTAAAAACGCCTGTATACAAATCGCGATATTGGATTTTTAAATCTCGTAAATGAAAATTACAATGAACTGTATTGAAATCGCTATAATAGGAACACGCATCTTTTGAATCAGGTAAATACGAAAATCGATGCTTGATATTAAAATGAAGCAACGTCTGAATTACGAAAATATGAGCTATCTAGCGGACGGGTAAAAATGAGGAAAATCTTATTTTCTGCTCGTAAAAGCTAAAATAAGTAGATATGAGGAAGGGTTAGCAGCTACGCAGTTTGAATTTTCTATATATCTTTTGATATATTATATCTATGTATCAAATCGGAAATAAATATAATTATTTTATTTCAACGGCTGAATTTTCAGAAAAAGCGAAATGGTTATTAAAAAAAAAACTGAAACTTTTAGAGAATCTGAGTTTTTGATAAAAAGGCTGAAATTCGAGAGACAAAAGCAAAAAAGGTGGAAATCCGCTAAAAAGCAGAAAAATCTCATCCCTGTACATGGGTGCTAATCTTTTTTAAAATAAAATATGAATAAAAAGACAGTGTTTTTAAGAAGTGGCGGCTTATTTTTGCAGAAAAGGGCCAAGAGGGCTCATTTATTGGGATCAAAGGGCAAGGTGCCCTTCTAAAAACGCTTCGGAAGAACACTGGTATTGTGTTGCCAGCTATGATATTTAGACCTTACTTTGGTTTGTGCTTATTGATCCAATGAAATAATGCCATTTGTAGCTTAGCTACTGGGTAGATCGCTCAAGGTTGCGGTTGAGCATAGAGTTGACAACCTTAGTTTATGGAAAACTCATGAATAAATTATCTGGTTCAAAGCCATTCGACTGATGGAAAAAAAAGAACTATGTGGAAAAATGTTCTGACGAAGGCCAAGGATTACACTGAGCTGTTAAACCAATGATGAATCCTGCTACATATTCTGAAAATTTGAAATTGCGAATCTCAGTATTGTGCAATTTAATCATCAATTGCCTTCAATGAACAGTTTTTGAACTGATGCTGTAAAACTTGAAATTCTCAGGGTAACTGACACACTATAGTATATAAGTGCCATATCCGTAAATAATACATTTCAATAACAACTAAAGTTTTTTTTAGATTAAAGAGGTTCAAATAGTTGCAATTTTACAGTAATTTCAAATTACAAGAGGGTACAAATAAAAAATGTTGATAAATTATTAGTTCTGAATCTACTTACAGGTTCTGATATTCCAAGTCCTGTGACACCTAGGGAATCTCCTTCTTTCCAACCCAATTTCTTCAGCATTTGATAGCCTTTGTTGGACTCATTCACAGACCTAAAACAATGTATACAAAAATAACGTACTGAATGCTACAATAACATAAGTGAAACTAATAAGGCATAATATTTATGTAAATAAAATGTTTTAATAAATGAATTGTAGGTAATTGCCTAACAGTTTATCATTTAAACCTGTATTTGTGGGTTTGAATCGGAAACTGTCAATATGTTAAAACGATAAACTGTTAAAATGAGAAAAATAGTACAACAATTTCATAATTTCACACAACTTTCTCTTTGAAAAATATGGGGGGGATGTTTTTTTCAGTGCAGGAAAGCTGCCAGCTTAAAGTTCAGCTTTAAAAAATAATGATATAAAAAAATATGCCTAAATGCTATAAAAAATATAATTATAATCCAGAGTAACATTGCTATTTTGAAAGAAGCAATTATTCATGAAAAATTTAATTTTAAGAAATTTCAAAGTGAATTAGTTAGGAATAACTTTACCTTTAACAAATCAAATTATCAATTTATAAAATGCATTAAAAAAATGCTCAAAGAAATGAAAATAGAAACAAATTTAGTCACATGACACAAATTTCAGTTAAATATTATTTACAAATAGTTCTAAAAATGTATATACAATTTTAAATCTTAATATAAATGCAAAATAGAAGCCAAAAAATTCATTTGCCTGAAATATGTAGCTTTTTAATGATATATTTTTCTAATGAAAATACATTTTTAATATCCTTCAACTTACTTAAAATTATTCTTTATTACAATCTGTTGATAATTCTGATTTTTTTCTGGTAGCAAAAGACAGTTTTCCTATTTCTTTTGCAACACAAATAATAAGAAGTATATTGATGGTGATTTATAATTGAAAATACATCAAAAGTACTTATTAGTTAAATAAGTACTTTTGATGAAATTCAATCGAAATAAGCTTCAATGAATTATTATTCATTAAAAATAACTCATGCCTTAATGGTGGTATGTACGAGGATACGATATTCTTTAATCATTGTTCCTCGATAAGCATGCCGTGTACAAACTTAGAGGAGAGGTAGAGAACATCGTGAAGAGTCATAGTTACATTGGAAAGCCTGGTAAGAAACGTCACCCTCACATAATAATGAGACACTTAGACAACACAGAATGCAATGAATACACTTTATTACACATCAAAGAGTACAATGTATCACTTATAAGTATTACAGGAGATGTTCAAAATTGCTCCTATTAGCTTGGAATATTGTCGAAGATACCTGGCGTTTCACTGATCGTAACACCAGCAATAGAGATTCATGCTACAAAGTGTTTTTCAGAATATACGACCATGTTGTACACAATGCTCGGCATGGTACACCAGTGAAACAAATCGAGAGGAGATAAATCAAGCGATGTAGAAACCCAAGCAACCATTCCTAATCCAACCGTTTTCAAATGTCCTGTCCAAATGGTCTTATATATACCTTCCCTAATAAGATGACGTCCCATCCTGTTGAAACCACATCCTGCACCAAACATGTGCGCTGACATCATTAAGCATTTCAGAAAGCACATCCTGATGAAAGAAGAGATAAGTGTGCAGTCGAAGTGGTAAGATGTATGGCCCAATTAAATTGTCCTCCACACATTCACAGTGAAGCGTTGTGCGGCTCATAGTCTGGTTTTGTGTGGGCTGTTTAGGGCCCACATATGTATGTTGTGTGTAATGAACACCCCTTCACGTAAAAAGGTTGCTTCATTATTGAACAAAACAGAACTGGAAAATTGCATATCTGCCACTCTTTGGTGTAGAAACCACTGAGCAAACTTTGAGTGATCATTCCGTTGTAAAACTGAACATGAAAGGGATGTAAGGCTTCACCCTACAGTGTGTGATGATTAATTGAGATTATACAGTTAATAGAGATGCTACAGTACCAATGGCAAGCCCCCATACACTGGTTGCAGTATTTTTGATGCATAGCATGCAACAGACTCTCTTTCAATATGGGTGTTCATGTTATTTGAAACCGCCCAGTACCTATAATTCTGGCTTCAAAGGATCCACACTCCGCTAGGTTCTGATGCATCCTAGACAACATTTGATGATTTGGTTGGTGCTTTATTGGATATCTTTCCCAATACAATCGAACAGCAGCATAGATGAAGTAGATGTCGATCAGCTTGACGCTTGTAAAACTATTCATGTTGAGTGCAGGCAGTTGGCGTCAGCAATGAGGAAGTCACATGTTTCGACCTTGAGAGCTCACATAAAGCACCACCTGTCAATTTTCTGCACATGCTTTCCTATGTTATTATGGCTCCTAACAATGTTCTCTACCCCCCCTCCAAGTTTGTATGTGGCATTCTGGGACACGCTGTATTTATATTTATATATACATTAAAAGAAGTGAAATGATTATGGAATACCAGGTATAAACTACCAACAATGCATAAGCTGATTTAGATGTAGCTACAGTAAAGCAAATTTTATCAAAATTAGATAAATAAGTTTATTACATGTATTTTCCTTTTAATAAGAGTCATATTTTTTTATTATTAGTATTAATAGGAAAAATTCCTAGGAATACTGTATTTTAATTTACAAAAAAAGATCACAGCTACCAACAGATTCTGATTTGGAATATATGTATCTGTTAATTTATAATGAAATTAAAAAGTATATATTTCAACAAAAATGTGTTAAGAAGTATATATTCCAAGGAAAATGTTACAAAAATTAAATAGTAAAGGGAGTGACACCAACTTATTAGAAACAATAATATGTTCAGTATAAACTCTTTTTCTCAAAGGAAAAAAGAATTTGAGATTTTGACACACTAAAGGCATAAAAATTCATGGAAAAAAAATCGAAACACATTTCTTTTCAAAACAATAGTGGCAAAAATAAAATTCCTTCAGTTTTCAGAACAACAAACATTTTAAACAAATTTATGAAACAACTAGAAATGATGAATTGAAAATGAACTGAATAATAAAGTTGATTATGTAATTGCCATCGAACATATAAGGCAATTTCTCTTCTCTTAAATGCTAAATGGCAATTAGATAGTTAATTTTATTTAATTAAAAGGAAAATGATAAAAAATTCTAGGAGCCTTTTATTTAAGTGGTAAATATGTTAATAATATAAGGAAGTCACAAAATAATTTTATATACCTTTCTAAAGATGATGCTTCTGTTTTTTCATAAGGATTTTCACTTCCAACTGTTTTACGTCGAACCTCTGCTTTGTCTTCATAACCAGATATTGTAGAGTTTTTCACTTCCTCATATCCCATACTCTAATATAAAAAAAATATAAAATTTATATGTAATAAAAATAATAATTTATATAAATACAAGGACAAATGTAAATTCTAAGAAAATTATAATCCTTTTCTAACATTTTATGTGTATATCATTAATAGTTACATTAAGATTCTAGTCAACTAGATGATTCTAGCCATGATAAAAGTGAAACATTAGCAAAGTAAAAAAATGTTAAAGAAATTAAGTAAAATTAAGTAAGAAATTAAGTAACTCCTAGTATTGCAAATTCAAAACAAATTAGGGCACTGTGGCATTTTAAACTCCATCAGTCATAAATACAAAACAATTATGAAGTTAGAGAAAAATAAATATTTAATTAGGATAGAAATTGAGCTGAATAGAGAGTTTAATAGTACAGAAATCTCAAGCTGCTATACTGTATCAAACTGAAATGAAATTGAATACTCAAATCTAACAGAGTAATAAACTAACCAAAATCTTATTAAAGCCTAACAGTATATTAAACTAAATCTGATGCAAAAAGAGAAAAAAGTAACAATTAAGAGGTTTCTTACTTGAAGGCCATATTTTTTCTTAAGTCTTCGAACTTCTTGCCTCCTCTCTTTTTCTTTTTCCTCTTTGGTTTTGTAGACTGAAGATTTCTCTACAAAATATTTAATTAAGCTAAATTAAAATACATAATTTAACTCCATGTTTTTCATTTTGTATTCTTCTATAACCCTCTATGCATAATTGTTGTTCTAACAATAAATTTCCTTAACATAAATCATATAAACTTAGATGCTACACAAAATTATACAATTTAATAAAAATATACTTTAACTAGAATAACATTTAAAAAACAAACAAACACAGAAACGATTTACGTCTCAAAATAAATTTTAATATTTTAAAAGTCAGTAACAAAATTAAATTTTTTTTTTTAATAATTATAAAGAAATAACGAGTGAAAAATGAATGTTTTTCAAAAAAATTTATTATAACAAACAATAAATTTATAAAGAGTGATGCTAACATCTTTTGGATAGTGCTATTTTCCCAAAATGTTTGGCAACAAAAAATGTAATCCCCTAAATATTTTAGATGATTACAGTTGAGTTTTAATTTTTTTATTTCTATAAACATTAAATGTAGCTTAAAGATTAGCAACTATTAATACAAATATCACAAAGGTTACTTAGATCATTGAATGAAAAAGTAATGAAAGTTGGATGAGCGAATTTTAAAAAAAGAATTACTCAAAATAAAGCATTTAAAAACTAAGACAATCGGGAGCTTTTTGTAATTAAAACTAAAATCCATAGAAATTAAGGAATCTTAAAGTTGGGTATCTGTCACATAATAAAAGCCTCAAAACTATGATCATTATGTCAAATATTTTCATCTTGATTCTACAATGATGAGAGGCATCTTACTTAAGAGTATTGAGAAAAACACATATCTAAGTTATAGTTAACTCCATCCAGATTTATTACATCGGTTGAATGATGCGACAAACCGAACAAGAATTTCATCTTCATGCGAAGCTTTTATAAAAATTGTTTTTCAAGACTGAATTATCTAACTATTTTGGCAGGAAAATCAACAGGTAAAAAAATTTATTTAAGTGCTGCAAACATATGTTAGCTAAATAGATTATTAATTTCTTCCATATTTAAAAACATATTGTGCACTAAGACAACAAATGGTAATATTTTTATTTAAACAATTATATTAAAGCAAAATAGTACATTAATATATCCCTGACTGAACTTGAGCGCATTCTATAGACTTGTTCATTACTTAAATTAAAACTGCACATAACTCAATTCTAGTGATCAAGATATTGAATAGTTTATGATACATAAAATATTAAAATTCAATAATAAAAAACATGTTCCAGGGACCTTGGGAAAAAAATCCAAGGAAAAATAAGAACAATGATATTTAGGAATCCACAAAAAAATAAGAGCAATTATGTTTTGGAATTAAACTTAATTGTTATTTAAATGTGATGAAGAGCAAAGTCTTTACCGTAAACTTGGGATGTTTTCGTGCGAAAAAAAAGCTATCATTTGTTTCGTTCATAATACGTGCAAATTAAGATTAGATATTTTAGCAGTCTTAAAATAGCAAATTGAATTTTGATGCTCTAAAGAACAATATTGTGCTTTCAAAATTATTCAATAAAATACAATAATTATTTTTAAATAAACAATATTAGTTTCAAATTACCCTTGCTACTTTAAATGTTTTAGATAATTTTATTATTGTAATAGAAAAATAAAGATGCCTAAAAAATTATTAATAAGATCTCTAACTTATGAAAATATTTTTAGTTTAGGTTTGAAATTCTCCTGTGACTTTTTAAAACTAAATTGAAAGACACTAATAAATTTTAAACATTATAAATCATGTTTTATATTTCAAAGCAAATATCTCATTTCAAAAATTGACCTTGTGCAGATATATAACCAAAACTGATGAAAAAGGGTAGCCGACAGCTTCAACTGTGGTTTACATAGAGGACCTTGCCAACTTAACAGAATCAATGTTGCCTTTGATACTGTTCATTTGAGTATAAAAAGACAGCCTGTTATGTAACAGTTAAATTATTGATCTAGTTAAGCCTTTGCCTGATAAATAGATAAGCTCATACATTAAAGGGATGATTAACAAATAATTATACAGTAAAGATTACCTGCTTTTAAAGATTTTTCTGCCATCACCAGACCTGGTTCACATTCATCACAGGTTTCATGGCCAACATGTATGTGAAACATAAGTTTACAGTCTCCGATCGAAACGATATCCCTGTGACTTAGGACACAAGGTGAACTTAATTCTTTAGGCTGAATAATAAAAATTTTTAAAAAAATTAGAAATGTTATATACTCAAATATAAATAAATACATACTTTAATCCTCTGAGAGTTAGTAAAGGCTTTTTCTAAATTTTAAAAAACAGGGTATACTGCATAAAAGCAGTGGTTTTTCCCATGTTATTCAAAGAAGAAAAAGTAGGTAGAAGGGAAATTTCAGAACTATTTTGTCCAAGTGCTCAATGTTTGTAGGGTTAAAAACAAGCATATCAATAATTGTTCAGTTGTTAACAATTATTATTATGTTTTGAGATGAAATAGACAATGACAAATGAATTAAACTAAACATATTATGATAATAATAAATTTTAGTACTACACATTTATTGTTGCAAAGTGATTTTAAACCTCTGGAATTGCTATATTAATAAGCAAAATATTGAATCCCATGTTTTTAGGCTAAAGTGTATGACATCAAAACCAAATCAATAAAATTAATAGTTTTAAATTTTTAAGAGTTATAAAGGTTTCAAGTATAAAAAGCACAATTTTTAAAGATATTCAAGAGTCTTATATTGCCATTAAACAAGAGAGTTGTTTCTCCTGAATTACTTTATGCTCATTTCAATAAATCCAGCAATAAGTGGACAGAATTAATGGCATAAGTAGGTGGGTTTTATGTGAAGAAAAAGGTATAAGTAAAAAATTATATTTTTATTGATTGAATCTTTCATAACTTCTAAACTCTGAGCCCCATCAAAATGATTGTGATTTCATTCGATTCAATGTGGAAAAAAAACCTCATGGAATTGTATACCTCACTTATCTATATAGCAATTTTAGAGGTAAAGATAAGTACAATATTGTACTATTTACACTTAAAAACTTTATAACTATAATTAAAAATTGTACTCGTTTATATTTCATGCTAGCTACTGCCCATATAACTTCTGATCAATTGGTTCTATTGACTTAAATTTATTGTCAATAAAACCAATTCAGCATAGAAAACTAATTACTTTTGAGCTATTAGTTTTGCCTACTCTGCACTGATCTCATTCAATTCAATATAAAAATCTACTTGAAAAATAATACTTCATGTGTTTAAATAGATATTTCAGATGATAAACAAAAATTGTACTTTTTTATACTTTAAGCTAGCTAAATCCCATATAACTTCTGATCTGTCAGTCTTATTAACTTAATTTTGATGTCATATTATTTAGCATAAAAAAATATATGGGAAACAATACCTCATTTGACTAAATAATAAAATTTAATTTACCCCTTTTAAATCTCTCTCCACAAAGTAAATACAAGTAAATTTAAGATGGTTTTTTCACCATGAAATTTCAACAGCACAAACAATTTTTTTAGTGTTGTACTTCATCTTTATTTAGTGTTGTCTTCTTTTTTCTGGCATACAGAAAAAAAAGACAAGTTGATACAAAACCAAACTATTTATGTTACTCACAAAAGTATTTCCCATTATTAAAATATACAGGTAACTGATATAAATAACCATGATAGATATACACTGTAATATAAAAATTGCATCATTAAAATATTTTATAGTGATATGAATCAGTATAAAATATATCTTAAAATGATGTCAATTTTGAAGTAAACATTACACAATGGATCTAGATTTTTTAATTTTGAAAAGTATAACTACAGGATATTCAAACAGACAAAAATAGTAAAATATTTCTACTTTGACAAAAATAAATTTGCTATATAATTCTAACAAAAATTTACCTCTGACAGCCTAGAATCGTTCACAAATGTTCCATTCTGACTACCAAGATCTTTGATAACATACTTCCACAATTCATTATTAAATGAAACTTCAGCATGAGTCTAAAATAACAAAAATAAATTATATTTATCATTAATAACCTGATTAATTTTAAGGTGTCAGACAGGTTTCAACAAAATTTTTGTTTCAAACAATAATCTTAAAAAAAATTTTCAAAAAACAATGAAACAGAACTAAATATTTTATTTAATATTGACTTTTAAAGAAAAATTCGAAATATTTAAAGCTTGATAAAAATAACAAATTCACATTTAGACTTAAGTTTTTTGTTCAAAACATTGCTAATATTATACAAAATCAACATACAAAATTCCAAAGCATTCTATAATTAACTTTTTTGTAATTAATGTTAGAATAAAGAAACTTTCTCAAAATCAAAATTTTTCAAAAAATAGAAAATTCTGAAACGTAAACAAATTCTGACAACGACAAAAAATTAATAATTCAAAAATTTGTCTCTGGAAATAAATTTTACTTGTCTTAAAAATATAATTTATTCAAATAAATAAAGGTTAAAATACTCAAAACAAAACAAAAAGCATTTTAGTTTTGCTCTGGGAGTTTACTTCTGGTTTCAGCTTTGTCTGTCTCAGCATACGAAAAAACTATAACTTCATTTCTAAAAATTGGAGATCAAAATCATTTATATAAAGATAATTAAAAAAAAATCAAAATTTTCATTAAAATTGCCAATTTTCCCCCAGTTGTATAGCTCAAAAGTTTGTTTTCAACAACTAAATTTAATTACATTCTTTACTAACTCAGAATCTGCAGCACTATCATTATAAATACGTCTGCAATCCAAATGTAGCCACACGGAAATTATTATTACAAAACTACAACTTAAGCTGGCATATAAGTAGCAAAATTTTATTTAAAAATTTAACATAAAAATTTATTTTGTTTAAAGTAAATTTCATTTTTATTCAATGATACTTACATAGGAGTAGAATAAATCCTTATACAATAAAAGCCTGTAATTAAATTACAGAATTTATTTTTTCTTTACTTTTTATTCTTTTCTGCGTTCTCTCAACTCAGCTATATAACATTAATGAGAAACAAGTTCAGAGACATTTTAAAACGAAGTCTTCATAACTTTTTTAGCAATATATTTTTTTAAAATTAAAGACAAAAATTAATCGGCATTTGCTGTTGCAATCTGCAATACCCCTTGCAGTTCTGGAAGTTTTCTGCTCCTAGGCTTACACAAACTCAAGAAGTATGATAAAAAGTTTTTAGCAAAATTAAATTTAAAATAAAGTTTTCTAATCTGCAGTATTTACAAAATTTTAATGTTACTACTTGAACATTTTTTGAATGCACTCATTAAAGTGATAGTATTTAAATAGCATTTTTTTTATTTCTTAAATATTTTATTAAACTTACAAATAACAGTAGTTACAAATTTCACAAAAACAATAAATAGCTTCTCAAATCAAATTGGTTAAAAATAAATCGATAAAAATATTTATTTATCTTCTTGAAAATTAATAAAAACTGTACAATTCATTACATACACATCTGTAACATGATTTTTACATAAAAACATGCTGCAGATTGACTGCACAGATTTATTATTGTCCCATAAATAAAGGAAACTGTTAATTGTTTTGTAAAATTTTCTTAAGCATAAAAAAAGTATCTCATTGAGAAACATAATTGCTTACTTTGCTAACGCCAATTTCAGGAATATAAACATCATTCGCTTTATCTCTTCCAATAATTGCTCCTGAACAAGTTATAAGAAGTAATGTACCAATCTTTAACTTAGTTGATTCCTTCACAATTGCTCGAATACAGGGTGAATAATTATCTGATGAATCTAAAAGAAAATATTTTTAAAATTTAAACTATTCAGTAGCAACAGGCATAAAAAATACAAAGCTTAATAAATCAAAAAAAAAAATTTTTTTTGAAAATAAATTCAAGAGTTAAGAAATTTATTTCATCAAATTTAAATATTAGTGAATAAAATTAATTATTCGAAGAGATTATTAAACAAAATATTTTTATTTATTCAAAAAACAAAATCAGCAAACATGATAAAAAAAAATTTCAAAGAATTTTATAAGCAAATTAATATCAGCAAAATTTAAGTTATCAAATCACTAATTTTCAATTGCAATTTATCAAATCACTAAGCTTTTAAAACTTCAAAATCAATTAATATTTTAAAATTATACAGATAAGGAATCACAAAGAATTTACCAGTAACAAAAGAATGTTGAATTTTTTTTAATACTAGATAAAATTCCACAGGGAATGTTTTACACAGATATAAAGATGTTAATTTTTTTTAAAAAATCAAAAATTTATGAATTTTTAATTATATGACAGTTTAATCAACTTTTATGACCGACTAAACATAACAACTAAAACATTTTTCAGGGTGTTATGAATCACTCTACAAATAGGGGGGAATCAGATCACTCTTTTAACGCTAGATAATTTTTTTCTCCTTAAGAAGTACCGACACAGAAAGTTAAGAAAAGTGTGATGATTTTAATCATTAATATACTTAAAATGTTAGGTTATGTTAATACTTAAATATATATCTGCATTACTCTCTAAAAATGGATGTGTTTCTGAATGGTGATCAGATTCTTGATCAGATTCTGAAGAAAAGAGTTCCCCTTCTTCTGGAGAGCTGTAATTTCCTTCTTGTTCATCAATTTTTACAGAATATTTAGTAGAATCAGAACATTTCTCTTCATCAACATTCTGGAATAACAATAATATAAAGAAAATGTGAGCATAAAATAAAGTAAGAATTATTAAAAGAAATGCTCAAAGATTAGTGAATCAACTAAAAATAAGAATAAAAGAGGAATTTAAAGATCTCATATAAGTTTCAATATGACTAAGCTGTGGCCATAAATACTTGTTGTGTGAGACAGACAATTAGTGTCACGGCAAATTCTTATTACCTCAACAAATTACATTTTTACTGGAAGTAGTAAGTATAATAACATCAAACAGTGCCACGTAATTGTAATTAATGCAACGTAATTAAGAATTATATTTAACAATTATGTGCAGAAAATTAAAAGCTTTGGTTACAAAAAGGAACAAAAAAATATTATTTAAACTAAATGTTTGAGAGAGTTCAAATAGATATATAACAAGAAATGGGTGAATTAACAAATTGCATGCAGACTTGTATTTTTGATATATTAAAAAAATAATATCTTTTAAATGGACTACAGTAAAAATGCTGGAATACTATTTTAATAAAAAAGTGAATTTAATTATTGGGTAAGTTACAAAGTCTTTAATAGTACAATATTATTTTGTTTCCAATGTGATTACTTATTGTCAATCACTACTTTGTAATTTTTAGATCCTTAAGTTGTTATTATTATTATTTTAGACTGATAGGTGTTTGCATTAAATTGTGTCAACTATTGAAAAAGTGCGATAAAAATTAATCAACAATTATTTCATAAACTGTCACTTATGAAATACATATAAAAAACAGGGAAGAGATTCATGATTTTATTTTTTGTCATAATTTTAAATGAATATTATTTTCCTAATTAACAATCATTTTATAAATTGTTACTTATGAAAGAAGGTGAAAAATGTGAAAAAGAAAAATCATTGTAATTCTGTTAAAAGGAAACATCTTAAATTAAAACAAATAGAAAACTGAGAAGCTCAATAAAAAAATTTATCCACACACGTTTAAGAAACAAGCTCATTATAAAAAATATAAAATATGATCACTACGGTCTCACATATTTCAGATTTAGCTCTCTATGATTTAAACAAGAAATACAACCAAAAGACATAAAGACATATTCAAATGGCAAAATACATGTACTTTTAGCATTAATTTATTAATAAAAACATTAAAAACCTATTTTATAAGCAATATGTCGCTTTGTTCTATTCTTTAGATGTTTTTTTAATGTAAAAATAATTTAACATGGAAAATAATTTTTAAATAATATTTTTTTACAATAAATAAGGAATGTATATCAAAATATAACCACTAACTTTTCGTTAACATAATTATTTTTTTAATGAAATTTGAATCATAAACATAAAGCATTAAATAATAGAATTCAATTTTTCATCAAGAAAAGATTTTTTTTTACAATAAGTACTTATAATATTTTTATTACAATAAATAAAATCATTATTTTTTTTATCTTTATCAATAAAAAAGAATAAAATCAAGAAAAGAAAATTTTTGCAGATTGTTATACAATGCTTAAAAAAAATTAAAACACTTACAAACTTCTTTCTCCAATACCTTCGTCTGGCTTTGACTTTTACATTTTCTTGCTTGGATTTTTTCGCAGTTTCAATAGTATTTAAATCTACTTGATAATAGAAATCGTAAGAAGATGTATCTTCATCATATTTATAATAAATTCCACTTTGTGGATCATACAAAAGTTTTCTTATCTGAAAGATATTAAAAGAGCCATTTAAATATTTTTTATACAAAAGATTATTTTTTTCCTAAATAAATTTTTTACATAGAACATTTGTAAAACAAACTTTGCTGAATACAAAACAAAAATTTTAAGACTTTCACTAAAAAAGTTATGACTGTTTTTAATACTTAAGCATAAAAAGGCTTATCGAATAATCCTATTATAAAACTTTTTAAAAGATTACAGTGCGAGAAAAAAAAGTGAAAACACTGAATAACTTTTGATCTAATGATCTGATTTTTATATGCTAGCAATTAATCTTAATGGTTCAAGAGCCTAACCTTAAATATGTTAATTAATAATTGCAGAGGATATTTAAAGTTACAAAATAAGATACAAAAATAAACTTTTTCTGAATAAACATACCTATTTTCTTGGCACTATATGGGGTACTTGCAAATTGGAAATTAGGGTCCCATTTGTTTAGACAGGGGAGTTGTTGAGATTGGACACCTTATGGTCAATTACACTTTTTGTGTATTTTTACATCTCAAGTCAATCAAAAAAACTTAGCTCAATTTTTTGTTTAAATATTTGACTTAAAAATAATATTTTAAGAGAACATGAATGCAATTCATCACATTTTTGATGTATAATTTCAACATAGGGAGTTTGGCATGGTCAAAGAGTTATCGACAGTAAAACTGTCAAAAACTATGTCAAGCCTGGACAAAACCCAAAAAGAGTTCCTTATTATCGAAAGAAAAAATTCACCCCACAATGGAAAAAATCCTTTTAAAAATGATATTTCAACGTTAATTTTAGGAAATTAAACTAATTAGAAGACAAAAATATAAAATTATTGAAATTTTACAGTTCTTTAAGCAATACAGAATCAAAATGTATTCTAATAAATGCTTTTAACTATGGACATTTTGAAGCTCATTTAAGGCATTTTTTTTGCTTAAATGTAATGTTATGATACTTAAATGTCTCAGCCAAACAACTGCAAGAGTAAGATGAAATTTCTCTTCAACATCCATAAGCTTTATAGAAAAATTCCTTATAACCTGTTCCTATACTAGATATTTTAAATTATAACTTTCACCAACAATTAAATTAGACAGAATACGGACAATGATAGATAAGAAAACAATTTTACGAATAAACTTACAGCATCATAATAATAGCCTGTGGATGTGCTATAATACATCTGATATTTTTCATCATAAATGTAATCTGATATTCCACTATTTTGCTCAGCAACTTCTCTAACTAGATCATGAATTGTTTGCTAGATAAAAATTAATATAAAATTTAATGAAAAGATAAGTATTTTACAGCTCAGTTAATAAAAAGTTTGAAATTAATTTCAAAATAATTTAATTAAGTTCTAGATTGCAAAACTTTAAAAGTATACTTATGTAATGAATAAAAGATAAAAAGAAAAAAAGATAGATATAAAGAGATTTTTTTTAAAAACTTAAATTGCACTATATTAAAAAATACAGTTTTTAAATTTATTTTTTTCATTTAAAATAAAAAAATAAATTTAACTAATTTAAATTTATCAATAATTATTATTAATACTAATTAATTATTTATTAATACTAATTATTATTATTTATACATATATAATTCGATAATTAATTAATAATTACAATTATTACATAATGTAATTATTATTAATGCTAATTTAAGTTTAATTAAATTTAATTACAGACAAAAAAAATTATTACATATATATTTATTTCATAGTTATTTAACAAGCATAAAGCAGACAATATAGTAATTCCGAAAATATTTTGCATGCAATTAAAAATTTCAAAACTTTCAAGGACTTTTTGCTTTAGAACCGAATGCAGGAGAAACAAAAAACTGCCTTTAGACTTACTGGACAGGCTACATTTTACAAGCTAAAAAGCTACATTAAAATAGACCCAACACAAAATATTTCTTTCTTGTTTAAAGAGAATAAATGAAAGAAAGCAATAAATTTGAATAGTATACTCACTTTGGACCCCACAGGCATTCCCCAAACATTCGAAACTTCATTGAAAGCTGGAATAAAAATAATGATAAAACGAAATAAAATTAGATCTTAACTATATTTAAATTTAAAAAGTTATTAAAATTCAAGTTTTAAGAAGCGATGAAAAAAATAATAAATGCAAAAAAAAACATGTTTTTTTCATTAACAAGAATATGAACATGAAAAATGTAAACAACGAAATCAACAGCAACAATAATAATTAAAAGTTCATGACAAAAACAAAAGTTATCGCCCCATAAGTCCTCTTGCTTGCCAATATTTCACTGGTTCCTTATCTATATAGATTGGTTCGCAGGTAATGTTTGTCCATAGGCTCATTTCTTTCGTCATAGGGGGTAGGCAAACTTGGTAAGAATGTCAATATTCTATAGCTTTTTAAACCAAAACAATAATTCAAAAATTAAAATAATAATAATAAAGTCTTTTTTCAAATTAAAAAACTAATATAGAATATGAGAATATGAGTAATATGAGAATTAAATTCAACATAAGTCCAAATAAAATTGTGAATTAATTAATTTTGGAAAGGTTATATGTTCTAATTACTTCTTTATAACTAAAAGAGGATATCTATTTAAACAAACTTCATTAATGTTTACACACTTTATTAATGATTACAGCAGAACAACAATTTAACTACTAAAATCTCTGTACATAATAAGAACTGTTTTCAAGAACCATTAATTTCAAAATTAAAAATACAGTGACAATACAAAATTTGTAACTTACTTTCCTCTTTTTGAGATTCCAAATAAGTTTTCTCCTCTTTAATCACATCACAAGTTTCTGTAAGCATATGCTGTAAAAAGCATTTTCTTCATATTTCAAAATTAAAATAGAGAAAACAATTAGGCAGACAAATCAGTTATAGCAATCTTACATTTGTAGCTATTTGAGGAAGAACACTGTTGCTACTACAATCAATATCATTAATATTCAGATTATTTACTTGATCAACAACAGATTCACAAGAATCTTCGGTTTTAGTACTTCCATTTTCAATTTCTTTATTTCTGTCATCAACATAACTGTCACCAACTTCGGACACAGGATTTTGTTTTTCACTTCTATTGAGGCCAGTATCATTTTTGTGTCCCTCATACAAGACATAAGCATTTTCAGAATAATCATAAGTATAATAAGCGCCATTTTGTGGAACGTAATATAAACTCGTGTTCTGAAAAATAAAAAAGAGAAAGTCAATGATTTCTATTATTGAAATAAAACAATTAAATTCTGGTTTTAAATCAGTAGGTTTCTTTAAAAACAATTACTTAAATCATTGGATTAAAAAAAAAGAACACTTAAAATGATTTTGATTGTTTTTAAATTGATCATGAGACTAATTAAAAAAATTGAATCTTTCTGAACAAATAGAAAATTATAAACAATTTCAAAATTTCAAAATAAAGGTAACATTACAAAAAATGCTAAAAAAAAGGACAGAAAAGCTTTAACACCTTCCGGTACAACAAAAAGAAGAACTTCCCCAGGCAAGACACTCCTTATTTATTCTCTGAGAGTATACCTGCTTATACGAGAATACCAAATTGAGATTACTTCTGTGTAAACATGGGCCGCTAGAGTTAGAATAAACTCACCTCCTATATAATACCATAGGCAGCATAGAAAAAATCCCATGATCATTGTCCTGAATGGGTTAAAGTAATGCAATAAAGTCATGGTGGCTCAGGGGATATAGCATTTGCTTTCCAATGAGGTGAACCAGGTTTGAATCCCAGAGATAGGTGGTTGATAGGAATTCCGCATCCGGTTCGCACCCCGGTTGACATAAAATATCCTCAGTAGTAGACGGATCATGGGTTAAGAATCTCCTTGCCGTCAGGCTAGCTGTGAGAGGTTTTCCTCTCCATGTAACGCTAATGGGGGTTAGTTCCATCAAAAAGTCCTCCACGAAGGTACAGTTTCTCTCAATACTTGATCCAGGAGTTCTTTTGTCTTTTGGATTGTGTACAAAATTACAAGGCTACGGAGTTGAACATTAGTAGTCGTAAACCTAAAATTGGGTCGTCAGTTCAACAATGGTTATGGAATAAAATAAAAAGTAATGCAATGAATGATGCATGGGTGTGATGTCTCTCTGAGTTTTGCATTAACTACCAGAATGCATGCGTGATTAGTTTCCATTTATATCTAAAAATTGTTACACATAAGAGAGTAAAATTTAGATACATATTTCTGATAAATGTTATAATTCTCTGTGCCATTTTAATAATATTTAATCAAATAATTTGATGCAGAAAAGGCATACAGATATTGAATTAATGAACACCTAAGCATCAAGCATAGTATAAAATGAATAATAAAAATGTTAAAGAAAAATATTTAATAATGATATTAATGTAATAATATTAATGCAATAGAGTTTTTATTTTTTTAGCATTATAATTCTTAAATAAAGAAAACTAATCAGTCTTAGAGCTTAGAGTTACAAACGAAAACAAGACAATAATAGTCATCGTGAATATTCAAATGAAACTGGTTTACAAACATTCATGCCCACAAATATACGTTTAATTAATTTGGGTAAATAATGAAACAATTTAACATACAGATAATATAATTTTTTTAAAAAAAAGCCTGTATCTAGACAAAAAAAATTCAATTTGACCATTTGAAAATCACAAATAAAACAGTGTAAAAAAAACTGTTAGTGTGAAAAAGTCTCTAAACATTAGATTTTAAATAAAGTATAAGGGTTATATTTTAAAATTTTAATCCAAATAATATTCTTCACTTACCCTATCATAATAATATCCAGTAGATACACAGTAATACATTTTGTAGTTGTCATCATATACATACTCATCCGACGATTTAAATTTATTAGTAGTTTCGGTATCATCAACCTATAAAGTACACATTTGGTTTTGAAAAGAAATTTACTAAAGATAAATTGCTATCTACAAGAAATACAATGCAAATAACAAAGCTACTGTGTTCACTTCTTTTTTTATAATATACAGTGTAATGCCCTACTTAAAAACAGTGAAGCTAGTAATGTGATACAAAAAATAACTTCAGTAGAGTGTCAATTATCTGAACGTCAATTTACTGGATATTTCCAATGATATGTATAGTCCTTGGATCATGTGTTTTTCACACCTTAAAAAAATCATGAAAATGCTTCTTTATTTTCAGAATACCTGAATAGGGGTTGAAAAATTGCATATTTTCCCCCTCGTTGACTTTGAAAAGAATCTCACGTTCTTTGCCGATTATCTGAATGCCAATTTACTGGACTGCCCAATTATCTGGAACGTTCAAAGATCATATGTTTTTCCTACCTTTAAAGAAAAAAATCGCGAAAATGCTTCTTTATTTTCAGAATATCTGAAAGAGGTCAGAAAATGGCTTTTGCAGAGAGCATGCATGTTAAAACAGTTGTTTCCCATTGAAAATAAAAATCTGGCCTTACTTTCTGGATTATATTATGCCACATAACATTAATTTAATTAAAACAGTTTAGAGCATTAAATTTCTCTTTTAGCATGTCTTTCTAAGTAGACCATTTTTGGTTGCTTCACCAGTTTCATTATACCATCAATACTCATAATAAAAAAATAATAATAAAAAAATAAAGAAAAACAGATATTAAAAAAATATTATAGATATTATAATAAAAAAATAATAATAAAAGATTTTGTTTCTGTGTATTTTGTTACAATATAAATACAATGTACCTACCAATTGTTCCAACATAATAACAATTTTAGCTTATTAGAAATTGCTAAAACAACACATTTAAAAAAGTAAATGAATAAACTAGGAAAACCAACTTACATTTTCATTATCATCCTTCACATTAGACTCTTCTAATGTATTTGAATTTTCTATGAAAATATAATATTACTATTATTAGATTATTGAAAATAAAAGGAAATATTATGAGAATTAAAAAAATCCAAATTACTTTACAAAAAAAAATTTCTAAGTTAATTATTTATCTATGTTAATTTAAATTAAAAATGCATAAAAAAAAAGTTAGAAATTGAGTAAAAATTTGAGTTGAATGTAAGCAATGAACAATATTGCTTATCCATTCAATTAAAATTTAAACATTATCTAAGTGGGCCATCCTAAAAATTCCCTACATACTTCATTGTAAGTGAGAAGAGTTAGGAGGCAGAGCACAGACAGAATGAAACGATCTCATATTAAAAAGATCTTGATGCAGCATAGCAATTTTTGTGAAAAAATCTGCATGTGTTTAAAAATAATGTGCTTTAAAAAATGCACTTTGTAGTACATGATGAAGTATACCTACATAAATTCTAAATAAGTATAATATCATACCAAATTTCAATTAAAGAAATTATTAGTCAAAATTTTGCTATAGACATAAATAAATCTTTTAAATTATAATATTTAGACCTTTCAACTTTAAAATGCCTTAGCCTATCAAATAAAAAGTTATAAATATACATATTAATGAATGGATAAGATATTAGAGAATTTATCAACTGCTCAATATGACAAATAATTTTTGTTAATCTGTTTTTCTTTATTTAAGAGATTTTTTCACTTTCATTTAATTTTTGATCTTTTTTACTGATTTTTTCAATGGATTATCTTTTAATTAATTATTCAATTTCATGTACAATGATTTGTTTTGGTAATAAATGAGGTGGACACATAAGTTAATAAATGTAATTTTCTAATAAAATATCTAACCTAACAAAACAAGTTTACTTAGAATTTAACAGAGGAAATAGTTGCTACAATACACATTTTAATATTTCAGCAGGAAATTTGTTGCAACTTATAAGTAGGCCTAAAAATAACCACTCGCCATCGCAAGAGTCAAAAAAAAAAAAAAAGTCGTGACTTTAACCAAATAGAGAACTGGTCACTTTTTATTTTTGTGAAAATCGTGAAATAATAAAAGTACACGAATGAGGAAAGAGTCTAGTTCTTAAACAATTCACATACTTCGAAGGTGTTATGTATATATTAAATTAGGGGTGCGCAAATTCTTTGAGTGAAGGACCACTTGCATATCAGGTAGATTTCATTGCATTTAGAAGCTCCAACGTGCCCAATATGGCTCGTGGGCCACAGGTTGAGCACACCTACATTTAATGCATTTTGTCTCCCCAAATATTGCAGTATGCTTAATTAAATTCAGTATGTTCTAAATTTTGTCACACATCACATTTATATTATTTTTATAGTTGAATTAACTTTTTATAGCTGTAGATTATTTCAGATATCACTTTTTTAAAAAAAAATTTGATTTAAGCAATAAATGGGTATACAAGAAAAACGACCTCAGTCACTGACTCATTTGGTTAGCGAAAAAAGTGGCTACAGTTATTAGAGTCTACTGTTCACTATTTTTGAATTTTCAGGTCTACTTACTAGTAATACTTTTCTTAAAAATAAATCATAATGAAAACTTTTATTGAGTAGCTATTAAAATTACAAGTCTTTTATTCAGTCACATTTCAAGAAAAGGGTGAATCCTAGAATAGCCCTCCCCGAGGCGATTTATTTAAGTCTTGCTAAGCAAGTTTTTAAAATCTCACCGAACTAGGTTTCCGGAAAAAACTTCAGGGAGATTATTTTGAGCATCCTATCACGCCAGCAAAATTCTTAAACCTGATTGGTTATTTGAAATGTATACCTACACAAAAGTTGGATTTTGTTAGAAATGAGGTGAAATGATTTATTTTTAACTTTATTGAATGCAATAGGTAAGAGAGTGATGATTGAATGGTGTCTGGATCAAAATTAATTTCGAAAACGTATGAATGCCCTAAATGTGGAGAACAAATGAGTTTGATTGTGCGAAATGGTATTTTTGTTCTATTAAAATATATTTTAATAAATTTTTAATAATTTAAATTGTTTTTTTTTTTGTTTACTAATCAAAAAGCAACATTGATCCCAATAATAATAGCCAAATTGGTGAGATTTCAAAAAGTCACTAAGATGTGGGCCATTCTAGGACTTTACCGAATAAAAATTTATGTGCTTCTACATGCAAAGTGAATTTAAATGAATGGGGGAAATATTTAAAGGGGACGTAGGCTGAGCAACTAATGTAAAACAACAAACTTTTAACTTAAGTGAAGTAACAAATACCAGTTTCTTCAAATTTTGGTGAAAAAACAACAGGTGCAATCTCGCAACTAATTCTTTTGTCATTCGATGCACACTTTTCATTTAATTCAGTTTTAACGTCCTTCAAGCAATAGCATTTATGACAAGATCGACTTTCGTAAAATTTTAAGCTTTTCGTTAAATTCTGAATTTGAATAGTAAGTTTTTTAATCTCAAGATCTTTTTCTATCACCTGGGTTTGTAATTTTGTACAGTCAAAGCATGATAATTCAGACATAATATTTTTTTCGTAAAATATTTTTAATAATTGATAAACATTAGAAAAAGAAGAGCAGACTAGTTTCTCTATTTTAAGTAAGGTTTTTCTGGACTCTCAGTCGAGAATCAGTTTATTCTGTTTACCTAGTGTTTTTGAATACTTAGTCTCGCTTGGATATGTTTAATGTAAATTTTTACAACTTTATCAATTCAACCAGTTTATTATTGAGAAAATTTAAATCAAGATTGTGTTCTGAGTTATATTTCACTTCAGTTTAGCAATGAAACGCGAGATAAATAATTACGTTTCTTTATTAAGTAAACGTTAAAATTCGTATCACTGCAACTGTGATCAAGTTAAAAAATACAATTTGGTGGGGGAATTTCGAATAATTTCGTAATTACAATTTGTTAAATTAAATGTCTCTTTAATTGACATTTATTATAACATTGGAATATCTGCTTCTTATTGTTATTACTGTACTATATTTATAGCTTTATTCACAAAAAGCGTCACATCATGTCGTCAAACGTTTATTACTCTGATAAATATTATGATGACAAGTACGAGTACAGGTATACACTTAGTTTTGACTTTTTGTCAATTCTTTCTAGTGTTTTTATTGTGTTTAAAATTTTTAGACCTATAATATTTATGTTTATTTTGCTGTTTCTCTTAAAACGTAAACTTATTGTTGTTTGGAAGTCTAGTGTTAGTTTGGTGTTAAGAGTTAAGTGCAATAAATATTTTGACTTTATAGCTTTCTGACTCAATAATGATTTATATTTTCAGTGTATTATAAATATTAGTATGAGTTGGAAGATTCATTCTAGAAAAAATTTATAAATGGAGAGTCAATAATCTATCCAGTTAGGCTATTGAATTACTTGATTTGATCTAGAATGAATAAAAGTTTCTCTTTCCTACATTTTTTTTTCTTCCTATGACGTACAGTAGAAACCCGATTAACCGAGCCGATTAGGAACTATGTTTTTTTGTCCAGATACTCTTATAGCATAATCATTGTGAAATCCTTGTAATTCAATGACTCTTGTTTATTGTTGTATAGGTATAAAGTTAATAATTAATAAACCATAATAAATAATTTAAGAAGCATAATTTTATGGCAAAAATTTTGTATACATAAAAATTATCATAGGATAGTCCTATGCGGTTTTGCCTAAGGTAAAAGTTTACCTTATATTCTTACCTAGTATGGTAATTATTATTTCCCATATACGCTTATGGCAAATTTGTCACATTTATGGCAGACGTGTATGGCGAAATTTTACCTTAGGCAAAATTACATAAAAAATATCCTATGGTAGTTTTTATGGCAAACCTATGGCCAATTCTCCTGTGAGTAATGAGCCCTAAGCAATGACTGTACATTTTAGTTCATTGTCCGGCTCCACTTCCCCCAAAAGAACTCAACTTCCAAGAAATATTGCAGCACCCTCAGAGATCAACAACGGCTAACAATGTTTCGTTTCAAACCAGATGCAATGTATTATCGAACTGTACTTTTTTAACAATGTACTTTTGCAACAAAGGTAACAGAATATTTTAAGAAATGATTATGTAAAATTAATGTACATTAAATTTATAAAAAATAAAATTATGATTTGAGATTTGTGTTAATTTTGAAAATGCATCTTTAAGTTTAATTTTAAAAAATTCTATTTCCTGTTAAAAATGTATGTATTACTATAGAAGTTAACTTTTATTTTTATCATTTGAGAAACGCTCTGTTTTTTATTTCAAATATTAAGTTTGTGAGCAAGGAGAGTTTTTATACACAGTTTCTATTTACCGGGATTTCTGATATCCGAGGTACTAGTGGTACCAATTAGCTCGGATAATCGAGGTTCTACTGTATCTGGTATTCAAGGTTCCTGCGGCCTTGCAAAAACCTTGAAAAGTACTTGGATTTCAATTTTGATTTTCAAGGGCTCCCTAGAAGTACTTGAAAATGATATTAAATCCTTGAAATATTCAAAATGACCTTGAAAAATATCGGAAACTCTGGAAAACAGCTCTATTTCGCGCATTTCTGTGTTTAACTTTTTGAGGTGCGTAAGTGTAAGAGAATGACTTTCCCGCCTTTCAGATGATGACACGTACTGTTTGATTTTAGGATTTTACGTATGTTTGGCTGATTTTAGGAATTTTAAATATTGGGAACTGTGCTAGACTCTGACAAAATCTGGATTCTTGTTCAGGCGATTTTAATATCGATCTTTGTATTAAACTGATTTAAAAGTTATGTGTTGTGATTCGTTTTTGCGTGTTTCAAAAATCGTACTCGCGATTCCCATTAAAGTAATTTAAAAATCTAATATCGTGATTTGTACTTAAGCGTTTTTAAACCCCAATATGGCGATTAGTTCTTCCGCGAGTTTAAAATCCAATGTCGCTATTTATATTCACGCATTTTACCGTTGTAATATCAAACATCGATTCTCGTATTTATGCGCGATTTGAAAACTACTCATTGCGATTCATATTCACGTGATCCTATCAAGTGTGCATGATTGATGCTTTTGAAAAATAATAAATTCAAGTATGATTGGTTAATTAAAACATTCAAAGTGACCAAAATTGTTAGTAAGAATCTATCAGAAAATATTGAGGTGAAAGTTGGCAACTGTTACAATTTAAAATGGTTGAGTGGTAATAAATTTAAAATGATAATTAAGCCGCAACATCCAATAATTGATTAATTTTCTTTAATAGAAAAGTGGTCAAAATTTCAAAATTATATTTAAGAACAATTTAAATTTCACTGTCTAAATGCTTCTGTCACTTTAAATATTAGATAAAAATCTCCCGGCAGAGTTGTTTTTAAATATCTAATTGATATCACAGTATTATGTAGAACATTCCCCCCCGTCCTTCCAGTGACTATGTTGTAGAAGTTCAGCTTTTTTTATTTTTGTCCTCTTTCTTTGATTCTTTTTTCAATCGTACTTTACCACAGACATTCAAAAATTATTTAGTATATTTGTTAATGATAGTTTTGTTCTTTACATATCATATAAGACGCATGAGTTTTTTACAGATAAATATCTTTTAATAATTTTAATTAGTATGTTTTCTACTTTCTTTACTCTAATTGTAAATTTGTAATTATAAATAAGATTAAGTGTACTTTGTTTTTATTTTTGTATCGATTGTTTGAAATGTTCCTCTTTTCTTCATGACTTGTCCGAATCTTCGCTTATTCAAAGGTTGTATGCCTAACTTAAAATAGGCCTTATGCAAAATTCAAATCCAACGTTTTTATGCATCACGAATTTTATTCTTGACTTGATGCATCAAGGCTTGCTTTTTTTATACTTAGATCACTTTCCGAAATCAAGAGAGAGCAATGGAAGTCTTATATTTCAGCACTGCTATTATCGTCTAACATTTATCGTCAACTAACTATTATTGTCAAAACATTTTAGTTTAAAATGTTAAATTGTAGTCTATCTTTTACTAAAGTTTAAGTCCTTGAAAATTTTATAATAAGTCTTAAAAAGTACTTGAATTTTATTTTTAAAGTAGAGCATGAACCCTGGGTATTGTTTGTTATTTATAATAACATTGCTTGGCAAGAAATAAAAATTAGTTGAGAATACTTTAAATTGATTATTGAAAAAAAATAAAACAATGACTCATTATGCAATTAAAAACTAACTATATGACTATATTTTTGAACATTTAGAGATTGTTTGGAGTGTCTGACTTGTAATAAGTTGGGCATTGTTTTGTTGTAAATTTTATATTCTTATATCTAGTTTCTTTGTAATCAATAAAAAACTAGAAATTTGTGTTCAATTATATAACACATTAACATAAGAATAAAATTAATATTGTATAAAATTTTTACTTTCCAGATTATAATTCAAGTTCTAGAGATTATGGCACCATTCCCCATATAAATTTTTTTTTTAATTAATCGGTCCTAGTACCAAGTATTTTAGAAAAATATAACATGATAGCAAAAAACTATTATGCTACTTTTCATTCTATAACTTGTTGTCTCTTAGATATTTTAGATCTTTATTAACTTTTATACTGTCAGTAATTGTGTAAAAAACAACTAATATTCTTGCTTGGCAGATATTATGAAACTGATTTATAAAGGTTGGTCTATTATTTGGTTTGAATCAAAGGTTTTTCAACATTCAATAAATTAATGAATTTATTTCAAGATATGTTAATAATTATAAATTCTCTGAAATTATGAATTGTCAGTAACAATAATAATATTCATTGTTTTATTTTAGGCATGTTATCATCACAAAAGAAATGTTAGAAAAAGTCCCTAAAGATCATTTGATGTCTGAAGATGAATGGCGAAAAGTAGGAGTACAACAAAGTAAAGGATGGATACATTATATGATCCATGACCCAGGTACACGATTTTGGCTCTCAGTTGCTGACTATCATATATAAAAGTAAAATGAGAGTTATAAATTAAGATTTTTTAATTGTGCTTGTAAAAATCAAGAAGTTTAAGTGTATAAATCAAAGAGCTTAAGACTAAGGTAATTAAGAAATGTTTAGTAACTAATAATTCTTCTTTTTAGTTGACTGAAAAAGGTTTACTTACTTGATTGAATAGTAGTATGGTTGTATTAATTTTAATAAACTTCATGGATGTAAATTTTGACTATTGAAATTCCCTTTCCAATTTATCTTATAATTATAAAATAGATTTCACAAGTCTAATTTAGAACTATTTGTTAAAAATGTAACACAGCATCAGTAAGTAAAAAAAAAAAAAAGAAACATAAGCTATATAATACCAGAATACTGTGTCATGGTGCGTAGCCTTTTTTTTAAGGCAGGGCTGATTGTGCTCTGGATTTCCTGACTTTTCGCTAACAGCGATCCGGAAGTTTCTGAAGGTCCAGACGTTTAAAAAAATCATTGATCACAGAAGTCTCCGGAAATCAAATTTTCTAAGGTGGAACTTAAAAACACAGTTTATTTTATTTGTTTGTAAGAAAGAGCCAGAGATATACTTTATAAGGTTATATTCATGATTAATATTAATTTTTTATCAGTAAATAGTTGTTATAATCATAAACTCAAGAAAGAAAGACATATTTGGAAATTTCAATTACTTCTCCAGGTCATCATAGGTATATG